GTGGCCCGGCCGCCGTACCGCCCCGGTGCGCGGCCGCCCCCACTCCTCCCAGCGCCTGAGGGCGCCCTGATTGCCCGGCGCGCAGCATTTGTTCGCCTGGTGGTATGGCCTGGGCTCTCCCCCACACTCTGGGGGTTGGCATGTTCCAACCTGTGTTTCATTCCCTACCTTCCCCCCCACACTCTGGAAGTTGGTATGTTCCAAGCCGTAGTTCTAAACTACCCGACACACACACTCTCTGTCTGGGCGTTGGTATATTCCAAACTGTGATTCTACCCCTGCACACTCTGGGAGTTGGTATATTCCAAACTGTAGTCCTAATCCATCACACGCACACTGTGGGGTTGGTACATTCCAAGATGTGATTCTACCCCGCTTCGCCCCACACAATCTGGGGGGCGAAGGGAAGCAGCGAGTCTCCTCCAGCCTCGCAGCCCCTCAGGGCTCAGGCGCCAGCCGAGACAGGGCGGAAGCGCTTCTTTGTTGCTGTCACTCCGGGCCCAGAAACGCGCTCGCGCCACTTCCGCTCCACCCTCCTACGTCGACGCCGCGGGTTGGGCTGAGCGGGAGCGTTGTATCTCGGTCCGGTCGCAGGAGTGGGGCTGCTGCGGCGCGGCCGCGTCTTCTCCGCGGTCGGGGGCGGAGGTCAGTGTCCCAGGGCGGGACTGGACGGGACGTGCTGGAAGGGGCGCGGGGTCTGGCTGAGGTGGGGGAGGGGCGGGCACGCGGGATTTCCCCCCTCACTCGCCCCCCTGTGGTCCGCAGGCCCCGCGCAGGTCGGCCGCCGCTATGTCGTACATGCTACCGCACTTGCACAATGGCTGGCAGGTGGACCAGGCCATCCTGTCGGAGGAGGACCGCGTGGTGGTCATTCGCTTCGGCCACGACTGGGATCCCACGTGCATGAAGATGGACGAGGTGTTGTACAGCATCGCCGAGAAGGTGGGTGTGGGCTGGTGCCTGGCAGAGGCCGCACAGCCTCGGGCACTTTGTTGGCCACGAAGTCGTTCGTCCACGGGATGGTGCATTTCCCGTCCTTGCCCAGCATGTTCTGGCAGGAGGCGGGGGAGAGACATGCCGGATAGATGTGGCGGTGCCAACTTGTGGCACAGGCAGGCTCTGTGTGGGGTACACGGCAGGTCGGGCAGGGAACAAAAGGCAAAGCGTGGGAGCAAGCAGGGATCGGAAAGCAGAGCAGCAAATTTGGAAAAGGATTAGAGTCCCACTTGCGAAGGGTGCAGGTCTCACTTATGGCATGCCTACCAAAGCACTTGGCCCCCACTTGGACAGTTTAACTCAAGGGTGTCACACATAGGGCCTGCAGAACTGAGCTGGTCTGCAGCGTCCTGTCATCTGGCCCGTGGTGCTGCCTGTGGGTTTTGGAGTGGACCCACGATTTGTGTGCTGCGTGCACTGGGTCAGCCCTGCATGCGGCACATGAGGCCAGGGCAAAACGGCATGTGGCATGTGGGGTTGTGCTGGGTACGTGCTTCCTGCAGAGTGCACAACTAGTCTGGGGCTCATGCTGCATGCAGTATGTGCAGCCAGTCCAGGGCACCCACTGCATGCATTGCCCATCCTATGCTCACCCTCATGCTGGTTTCAGCATGCAGGGCTGGTCTGCAAGCCCGGTCTGGCCCATGGATTGGTCCTGCTCCATTCATCCAGCCGGTGGACCAGTCCCTCACCCTTCACCCTGGCTCACGGCGCCTGATGAGTTTGACAGCCCTGAAGTAACTGAATCAGAGATGTATAAGCTGTCATGAGAGCAAGAGCTCATTTCATCAGATACTAAGAAGGGACGTGTTCTTTGACGTTCAGTCAAATGGAAACAGTGCGGTTAAATTCAAACAGTGATTTCTATTTGTTGTTAATAGATAAGGATTTAATTAGTGGTGCACTAATACATCTGCCCCATCTTGGATCAGCAGCAATATAAGGAAAATTGACAGTATTGGCAATCAACTTTTTTTTGGTTGATGTGACTGATAATGTTGCCAATAAATGCCCTGTGCACACGCAGCTGCGGCACAGCATGCAGGAAGCCAGGAGTGGAGCCTGGTAGTGTGGAGCGCAGCTTGGTCTGGCTGGTAAGTCTGTTGTGGGGGAAGGGGCGTGAGGGGGGCCAGACTGAGGCCCCTGCAGTGAGGGCAGGAGTGGGGCTGGGGTAGGGGAAAGCACTGCATAGCTGGGGCACGGCACAGGATGGAGCCGCCAGCAGGTCATCTGGAGGACATGGGGAGGGGGTAGCAGCTCCCGCCCTGCACGCACCATGGGAGGGTATGGTGGGGCATGTGTCCCCGGATCTGGGCACAGGGCAAGGGCAGGCAGCCACTGTGGGCCAGGGCCAGGGGCAGCGCCGGACTCTTCCTGGTGGGAGGGATTAGGCCGGGGCTGCATTTAGGGTGGACAGTGGCAGTGCTGGGATCAGGCCTACGGCAAATTTTGGGGTGGCTCCAGCTCCTTCTCCCCCTGTAGCTCCCCTCCAATCACTGCTGTAGCCCTCGCCGAATGCAGCTTGGCCCAACCCCTGGGGAAGAGCTCAGCGCTGCCCCAGCCTGCAGCAGCAGCCCACCTGTGGCCTGTGCACAGATCCAGGGGCACATCCCCCCCACTCGCCGTGCACTTGGCAGGAGCTGCCCTCCGTGTGCTTCCCAGACGAGCAACTCATGGCTCCATCCTGCACCCCACCCCTGCTGTGCAGTGCCTGCCCCAGCCCCGCTCCCTTCCCACCTTCCGTGCCCCCCACAACAGACTTACCAGCTGGATGCTGCTCTCCAAGCTGCTTCACTGCATATCATCAATCGGATCAGTATCGTCCAATATGGCTCATTAAAAATAGGCCGTTGGTTTCAGCCCAAAACGTCTCTATCGGTGCACCCCTGGATTTAATAGCTTAATCTGCAAAGAGAAAGAAGCGTGTGCGTAACCAAACTAGTAGTAACATTATAGATAAGTTCATGTTGTCATTATTCCTTTTAAGTGAGAGAATGTAACATTAATACACTAGCAACTTTTTAATTGGAATAGTTTAAAATATTGACACACTTTGGCATGCCTTTAAATAAACACTTCCAGCAATTTAAAAGCCCAGGAGTAGGCTGTGCTTCACTTAGCATTTGCTAATGGACTGTATTTAGACTTTGTAAAACTTGTTGAAATCTGTGCATGTTGTGCCAATCTGTGAAGCTTTTCCAAATGGAAAAACAACACCCTGTGAACACAAGTAAGTCTCCTGTTAAGCAGTTTAGATACTGAAAAGAAATTAAGTATTGTTTATGTAAATAGGTGATTAACTGTACAGCCTCTCTTACTTGTACCACTATGCAGCAGCACAGGACATGTTAAGCAGAACTGTCAGCAAACTCAAATAAAACAGAAGTACAAAGAACCAGAACAAAAAGGAATATTATCTGAATTTGTGTCAGATGGCAGTCAGTAATTATTTTCAGAAATGATTGCACCTTTTTCTACAGTATAACCATATGTGAAGATGTTTCTGTATTAGTCATTGCACAGTGTTCTTAGGGGCACTCTGGTAAGGCTACTGTACCTGTTCCAAGTGTTGAGACCTAATAGAGTTTAGTTTAGGGATTTTTTTAACAGCTTCCTGGTACTTTATATGCATCTTATGCTTCTCTTGAATGTTGTGGGACTAGTGTTAGTATCTATTTTGGCAGGACTCTTGGCAGTTTGGAAGGCATACTGGCATTTAAGTTTGATTGTGGAGGGGAAAAGAGCATTGTAACTTATTTAAAAATCTCCCCCTGCAGAAATGGCAGATTAAAGGGGGGGATCCTTCCTCATCCTCTTGCTTACGAGCCATGTTTGGATCTCGCAGCTGTTGTAAAGAGTGAGTAGAAGTTCCAATTGCACAGGTGCTTTACTAGAATATAATTCAAAATGTTAATGTGCTATAGTTGCATGCTACATTTGGAGAGAATGTAGCTGTATTACACTTAATATCCAGGTGCAACTTTTTTTTAAATGTGCAACATGTTTTAGGAAGTAGTAATGTTTTGGGGTACTCTGTAACCAGAACAGAGTTGAACATTATTAATCTGAATGTCTTGGGGACCATATAGCAAAATTCTAAAATGCAAAGTAGAAGTCTGTTACTAGTAATTGAAGTAAGCATTCAATTTGGTGCTGTGCATACTGATGACTCATTTCCTTTTGAAAATCTCACAATACATATGTTGTATACTGATATCCACTTTTAAGCAGAAGCTTGTCAAAGCAAAAAAAAATGTAAAATAGTCTTAAAATATCGTGAGGATATCTGAAATGCTTTTCAAAGGGCTGTTTTAAGAGGGGTCTTCAATTTTTGTGAACCCCAAAGGCATGGAACTTTGCTAATTTTTATACAAATAAATAAAACAGTTTTAAACTGTAGGACTGGATCTATATTATGCAACAATGGTTAAAAGTAAGATTACTAATGAGAACTACTCAAACAGTGGCCATTTGTTTGTTACTCAGAGGTAAAAACTACACCAAGAGTTAATGTAAGAGGGAGAGAGATTTGATAAATGAAGTGCAATCAATACTGTTGGTATTCAGCCAAAAAAGACACATTAATTGTTAATCATATCAGTCTAAAGCTTGTAAATCTCTTAATATTTAAAGTTTGAGGTAATCCAAAGCATGTTGCTGTTCTATAAAACTTCTTTGTCTCTTTCTCATTTTCTCCTATGTTTTCTGTTAGTACACCCTCTTGATGCTTTTAGAAACTCCCAAAATTTCCCTTTAAATTAGCCCAATCCTCTAACTCTCCTGTCTTTCACTATTTCTTAGGCTCTGATAAGCCAAAGAAAGTTAGAAATTTCTATAAGTGCAATCCAACTTGTATCTTAACCATGTTTGTGTTAAAATCTAATTTAAGACTTTTAAAACAGTTTAGCTGGCCGGCATGGACAATATGCCATGCACTTCTTACAACTGTATCCTGCAGTAGATCCCAGTTTCAAGCTTTTTTTTGTAACCTATTGTAGTTGTCAATATTCATATACATCTTTCAGCTGTCTTAAAGCAACTTCAGATATAGAAGAGTTTTAGACAAATGTAGATGGGACTTTAATCAGGGGGGTTTGCTAGACAGTTTCATACAGTGCTGTTCCTGGATTGTTTGCAGCTTCTTCCAGCCCAGGAAATGAAAATCCATTAGATTTCCTTAACTTGGATGAGGATTCCTTAACCTGCTCTACCACTACAGCAGGTTTAGTTTCCTGTCACACCTTCCTTTGTTTTCCTCCTCGGTTTGAATTTCCATAACACAGTGGTTCTCAGCCTATTTGAACTGTGGCCCATCCTAGGCGTTTGTACATGTGCTCTGGGGAGAGAGGGGAGTGCTTTAATTCAAGCGGCTCCAAGAGCTGCTCTAATTAAACCACCCAGAGCATCTCGTGTGCCAGCGTCCCTGCTTTAAAGCACACCCACTGCCATTTTTAAGCTAAGGGATGCTGATATGTGAGATGCTGGAGTCTGCTGGAGCACAGTAACTGCCATGCTCCAGCAGACACAGTTAGTCGAGCCTGCTCTGATGCGCTGTAACTACAGCGCATTGGGACAGCTTCACTGCTCGTGTATAGGTACCCCTTGATAGCACAAAGCAATTTACAGAGCCAGAACCAGAAATAATATACTGTAGCTGCCTTACTGTAGCCTTAAGTTGGTGCAAGGTATTGTATGGAGTTACCTGAGTTAGCTACGTGCATGTTGCCTCCCAAGTTGGAAACAATATATATCTATTTGGGCCTGTTTGTATCAAAACAAAACAAAAAACAACAACAAAAACGATATATGGGTGACCACATATGTACTACCCCCAACTGCACAAAGGTATGCTCTCTAGCCAGGGGACAATAGAGGCTGCTCCATAATTCCCCCTGCCCAGGTCACCTGACAGGTTTGCAAGCCCCTTAAAGTTCCCAGCTCCTGGGCAGCCTGAGAGCTGACTGGAGCTGGTTTTGGGCTGCCCCATAAGTCCTTTAAAGCTCCTGGTCCTTTAATGGGCTTTAGTGCTTTAATTGGCTGCTGCCAGGTGAGCTTTCTGCAATGGCACAGGCTGATTGGTCTCTGCCATCACCCCCTCCCTATCCCTCTCCCCTTCATCAACCGCTGCTGGCGGTATTCGAACAGAGCCCTATCACCCTTGCCATAGGGCAACAAGGGTGAGAGGGCTGCCTGGGTGTCCCCTACAATGATAAGGGCTGATCAGAGGTGCTGCAACCAAATACCTGTCCACACTTAAAATTTGTCCCAGGAAACTTCCTGTGACAAAAGTTACTGTTTTAACGAGCAGTTGTCACAGATCCACAATTTTTTTGGCTCTGAGTGACTTAGCCAGTCTGTGGCATTATACTAAGGTAGTTATACTGTTTCCTGTTTGGATGGTAACACATGGAGAACCGTATAGTATCTCAGCACTATGCTGTCCTGTGGGAACATAAGTGATGTTGTTGAGCTCAGTAGATTACCCCACCACTCTGTCTGCCTTGGAGAACTACTGTTGTGGTATGTTCAGAGGTTGCATGTAACAGGAAGGTAGGAAGGTAGGAGTTTAGTTCTGGATTCTGTTCCTGGAGCTCTTCTGGGCTCTGTGGCAGGGGTGTTAAACGTATAGCCCACAGAGTCCCACCATCTGTCCCCTGGTCCTGCCCCTAGGTCTGATCAGACCTATGTGGGGACGACATGCCCATGGCATGGGACTGGTCCGCAGGCCTGATCCAGCTTACAGATGCCCTCACCATCCCCCTTTCTTTTCCCCTGCCTCTCACTCTGCTTGCTTGATTTGATAATCATTCCCAGTCCATCTGGGACTTGCACTGTGTGGCACAGATCTCAGAATGGTTGAAATGGGCATTAAATATGGCACTGTCTGGGCGAGTTGGCAGCCATGCTGCAAACGGTGGCTGCTGTGGCCAGACTGTGCCATGCATAGCACCTGCCCTGGGATGTATGTTGCACACAGTGCCCACTCCAGCTAGTCCAGAACCTTTGCTTTATATGGCGCTCACAGGCACTGCATGCAGCACAGGTCCTCAACTGGCTGGAGCAAGCTCCAGGTGCAGCACAGTCCTGAAACTGCTGGAGCGGTTGTCACGTGCAGCGCAGTCCAGCTGAGGTGACCATTACATGAAGCATGGCTGCTACTTTAGCTGAACTATGCTGCATGCAGTGCCTGCTTTGGCTACCCCAGTATCCACACAGCTCACAGAACACGTGGAGCAGCTTAAACCACACTTACACTGTGTAGTTCAAGCTTAATTCAGAAACTTAATTTTGTAATGTATTTGGGATCCCAACAAAAAAGTACAGGCTTGTTTCCACTAGCAACATTTGAATTAATTTAGAAATTGGATAATCAGTTTTACTTGTTCTTGTATTGCTACATAAACCATACATGAGGTATAATATCATTTTTTGGGAAAGGGATTGATAAATGCAATAAGAATTATAAGCCTTCTTAACACATTCAACAGAAGCTAAAGTGACCCTATAAAACAGAGAAAATATCCAACTTTTATCTTTTTATTTCTTTTGCTGAACTTCATTGAGCTGTTAATGTTTGGGGGGGCCAGGATTATATATATTGAAAAAAAGTGTGTTATACCTTAGGATTTGCATAACCTCTCAGACTTTTCTTGGAAAGGAAAATAAAGGTACAGATACATTCTTCCAGGGGGTCTATTGAAGTTCTTCATGGGTATTATTCAGATAAATGCATTATTGAGAATCCAGATAAGAATGTTTCTTTACGTACTCTATAGATCTCGATACACATATTTCAGTAGCACTTTAATTCACTGTTTCCATGAAATTCCTACAATTAGGAATTAATAGTTTTGAGTTCAATATTTGTATAATGTGCAGTGTCAGTTTACAAACTAACAGTTTTAGTCAACTCATTAAATCAGAAATCAGTTGAAAGCTAGGTGGAGGTAAAAAAGCTCTTTGGACAAAAGGCATGCTACAAATCTCATCGGTAGTGTTTTTATTTCCAGATTATGGAACACTATACATAAGTCCCTGTGGTCTACAAGGAAATACTTTCTCAGAAGTTCCGGTGATTAAATGAAACTACTGCAAGAATTTTTACTTAGGCCGCACTACACTTGAATATTGGTACTGAGATTTTCATTCATGTCCATAGATATCTTCACTGAATAGTTTTATCTATCTAAATATCTCATTTTGTTTTTGTATATTCTTCAAAAATAAATATTTTAAAATTGGATTTGATATAGTACCAGCAAAAAAGATTTGATGTAAACTAAAGAATCTCACTGGAACTTGATTTACTGATTCCTGTCTATATGTTGAAGTTAATTATGTTTATGGTTACTAGCTAATTTCTTGCTCTTATGGTTTGATTTAGCAGGGACTATCTTGAAATGTTAGAGAACCAGTTTTGTGTAATACAAGAGAAATACTGACCTACTTAGAAGGATGTAATTGTTCTGTTTGTACAGTGTATATCACAAAATGTTAGTCCCTGTCCCTACAAGCTTACAACTAACATGGCTCTGATTCTGTTGGTCTGATGCTGTAAAGCATTAATTTCTCATTCCAGAGTCTGCTTAAAAAATATTGCCAGGTTTGAAGTAGAGGGCATGGAGAAAGCAAGAGGAAAGGAAAGGTAGTTTTATGGTTAAAACACTGGACTGAGACTTGGGGTCTGAGTTCTGTTTCTGTCTGCCTCAAACTTTGGGCAAGTCATTATATCAATGGTTCTCAACCTTTTTAGTATTATAGAAAAGTAGAGCTGGAAGGGACCTCCGGAGGTCACCTAGTCCAACTCTGGCCAGAGGCAGGAGCATCCCTATACAAACCATCCTATACAAATGCACTGTGTACCTATTAGTAAAACTACAGTTGACCCTGATGCAGCAACACAAAATAACACCCTAATCTGACATGGGTAAAGCAGGGTGATAATGATGGATAATTTCCTCTGCTATGAGAGTTGTTATATACACTTAAGAGATCCAAGGAAGAGGGCAATTACCCCCAACCCCCACAGAGGAAGGCAAATAACCCCACAGTTCCTACCAATCTGACTACAGTCTAAAATTCCTTCCTGACCCCAAGTCTGCCCCTAAACTGAGAAAGAAGCAAGACCCTATAGCCAGGGATCTCAATGTTTAAGTCCCAGCAGGAGTTCTGGTACACACCAGTCAAAATCCCCAGCCCTGGCTGCAACCAACCCTCAATACTTCTGAGGAAGGTGAAAAAAATAAAACCTCTCTGACACATGTGGACTCGAGGTACCACTTGAAAAATGCCAGCTCCTAGTTTTCAACCTGTCTGACCACAGAAAAATAATGGAACAATTCTTCTGTTGCAAAGAACTCAGAAAGACCACAATAGGTCAAAATGCTTTTAACGCTAAGGATTCCTATTTGAAATCCCTGGGTTTATTTTATGCACACCTAACAGTGCTACCATAGTGTGGCACCTTGCAACGCCCTTGAAAGGATATCAAGGCATCTCAGGGTACTGTGGCATCCTGGTAGAAAATCACAGCACTTTATCATCCTGTGCTTCTTTTCTAATAAGTGAGGTGTTAGTAGGGTAAATTAAATTAATGTTCATGAGGTTTCCAGATTATGGTGATAAAATCCATAAATGCTTTGCTGTGATGTTCAGAATAAGTTCATCTTTTAAAAAACTGGGTATTTATTATTTACTATTAGAGGTGCACTGATACAGGGAAAATTGAAAGTATCGGAAATCGGCTTTCTTTGCCTGATGCGGCCGATAAATGCCCCATGCGTGCGCACAGCTGCAGCATGCATGGGGCCAGGAGCTCAGCCCACCGGCTTGGAGACCAGCGTTGTGCTGGTAAGTCTGGTGTGGGGGAAAGGGTGGGTGGAGGAAATGGGCATGGGTGGTGCAAATGGAGGCCCCTGTGTTGAGGGAGGGAGTGGGGCTAGGGCAAGCTCTGCTCAGCTGGGGCAGTTTGAGCATGGGATGGAGCCACAAGCAGCTGGTCTGGGGGGAGTGGCTCCTGCTGCTGCATGCACCCCAAGAGGGCATGGGGGCTGTGTGGCCACGGATCCATTCAAGGCAGGGCGGGCTGCAGTTGCAGGCTGGGGCTGGGGGCTGTACTGGGCTCTTCCTGGCAGGGGGCTTGGCTGAGTCAGGCTGGACTCCACCAGGGGTGTGTGGGGGTGGGGTGGGGGTGGGGGGC